GTTCTGCACGGGTCGTCATTAACAAAGCTTACCTAACCTATCCACACTACAAATTGCAATCACCTTTACTGGCTACTCCTATAGGCTTCCATAGGTTTTACATCAAACCTTCCACCACATTTCCTACACGACATAACCATCTTCTTATCCACACTACAAATTACAATCACCTCCACAGGCTATTCCCATAGTCTCCATTACCTGTCCTCACGTTCCCCAATTTGCTTAAGAAACCACGCTTATCCGCACTATGCATTAAAATCGCCGTCGCCGGCCAATCAAATAGAGCTCCCATAGGCTCTCACGTTTCCTGCCCTCAACATTCCCTACATGACATAAGCTTTGCTCCCTATCCGCACTACAATTGCCTTCGCCGGCAAATTCCCATAGAGCTCCCATCGTCTCCTATGTTAAGCTACCACCACATTCCCCAGTTTTCGCTTAAGAAACCACGCTTATCCATAGAGACACAAAGAGACCCATAGTTCAGTTCAGTTCATTTATTAGGTATAGCCCTGTGAGCCATTCGGCTCTTGAATCGGGTGCAACCGCAACCAACTAAAAAAAGAACAAGAAACATCTTAAAGTGACTACATGCAACAGAAAAAATCCAGGAAAAAAACAGCAAAGTCTTCCAGAAAAAGCACCGCATATCAACGCTGTGTGCAAAAATCCCAGTGGGATGCTTGTCAAACAATAACAACCATAAGACAACTTCAATTACAGTTACCAGTCTAACTCTGTGTATTTCAACAAACAAATATGGCTAAACCAGAACGTTTTCGAAATCACCAAAATAAAGCTATAAAACAATGTAACAGTGATCACAGGAACTGTGATTACAATTTAACAATAAACGATATACGTGACATGCACGACCAATTCTAGATTTGAAGCTTTCGTGACTGCAAGGATCCATACTCTTTGGTTCTATTCGGTAAAGTCACGTAGGTAAAAAATAAAACAACAAAAATCACGACGTTTCGGCCACAACACAAGCAGCCTTCATCAGGTGAAGGGACTGTGTTGTCATGAGGACAGCGTTGGAGTGAAAACAGCCAAGCCCAGGTCGCGTCCTTTAAGCTGTAAAATCTAGAATCCACAAACTTACCTCACATAGAGACCCACAAACTCACTTCACACAGAGATCCACACACTGAGACCTACACACTCACCACACACAGACACACATTGAGACCCACAAACTCACAACACAGAGACCCACAGACTCACCTCACACAGAGACCCACAGACTCACCACACACAGACACCCACACTCATCTCACACAGACACCCACAGACTCACCTCACACAGAGACACACAGAGACCCACAGGCTCACCTCACACTGAGACACACAGACTCACCACACAGACACACAAAGAGACCACAGACTCACCTCACACAGAGACCCACAGACTCACCACACACAGACACGCACACTCACCTCACAGACACCCACAGACTCACCACACACAGACACACACAGACACCCACACTCAAATCACACAGAGACCCACAGATTAACCTCACACAGACACACACAGACTCACCACACAGACACACAAAGAGACCACAGACTCACCTCACACAGAGACCCACAGACTCACCACACAGACATACAAAGAGACCACAGACTCACCTCACACAGAGACCCACACTCAAACCACACAGACACCCACAGACTTACCTCAAACAGAGACCCACAGGGCCACAGACTCACCACACACAGACACGCACACTCACCTCACAGATACCCACAGACTCACCTCTCACAGAGACTCACAGACTCTCCACACACAGACACCCACACTCAAACCACACAGACACCCACAGATTCACCTCACACAGAGGCACACAGAGACCCGCAGACTCACCTCTCACAGAGACTCACAGACTCTCCACACACAGACACCAACACTCAAACCACACAGACACCCACAGACTCACCTCACACAGAGGCACACAGACTCACCACACAGACACACAAAGAGACTCACAGACTCACCACACACAGACACCCACACTCAAACCATACAGAGACCCACAGACTAACCTTACACAGACACACAAAGTGACCCACACAATCACCACACAGAGCACCCAGAGACTCATCACTTAGAGACCCGCAGACTCTCCGCACAAAGACCCACAAACTCACCTCACACAGAGACCCACAGACTCACTACACAGAGACCCACAAACTCACCACACAGAGACCCACAAACTCACTTAAAACAGAGTCCCACATACTACCACACCGCTGTCATCGCACCAGCACCACGGTGCATCACGTGGCACCGCCTAGCTATTACCACTACCACACCTCTGTCATCGCAACCAGCACCACGGTGCGTCACGTGGCACCGTCTAGCTGCTACCACTACAACACCGCTGTTATCGCACCAGCACCACGGCGTGTCTACCACTACCACACCGCTGGTCATCGCACTACGACACGTTAATTTTTAAATGTATGCACACGTATACAGTAAAACCTTGGATTGCGAGCATAATCTGTTCCGGAAACGTGTTTGTAATCCAAAGCACTCGTATATCAAGGCACTCGTATATCAGTTGTGATCACGTGACGCTCGTTAGACAAAGCGTATACGTACTACTCGTATTGCAAGACCTCGTTCGTTTATCAAATTAATATTTATATAAAAATTTTGCTCGTCTTGCAAAACACTCGCAGACCAAGACCAAGTTTCTCGCAATTCAAGGTTTTACTGTATTTATATTTTTATACGTAAAATGTTCAATTATTTTTTTACGTGTTCAGATAACTACTTGTGGTAAGTACCCGGCGTTGCCCGGGCGACAAAGGCAGACAAACACATGGACTTACACACGGACATCGACCCACACACATAGAAAACATCGACTTAGATGCACACACACACGGTTAAACCCAGGATGGATCGTGAGCAGGCCAGCCTAAATGTTTCGAACCGGCGAAGATGTTCCATTAAGGGGGTGCACGTGTCGCAAGCGTAGAGAAGGGAGGGAATTACCGTGGCCGAGAAGACCTGGAGCTTCATGCGGAGCGAGAGACCAGGTACCTTCCACACAGCATAACGCAGCCGATGAAAATATAATGGCGCTCGACTGATTTGGAGTGGGACCTCTGCTGTTTAACCGGAGCTGGTCATGAGTACACTGGGCAGGTATGGGAATCTCTGCAATCTCTGCACAACTGCCGCATCACCAATTGTGAGTTGTGGCGGTGGATTGTCCGATGGTACAAAATACCCAGGCAGGTGCTTAGTTTTGGTAGGGCTGATGGTAAGGCCCAACCTCTTAGTGGCACGCTCCAGGTTCAGCTGCAGCGACTCCAACTCCTCTTCTGAGTGAGTAGCAATCACCAGAGCATCGGCATACATAACATGGTTGAGAAATAGGGAGCCATCCTTTGACCGCACCCGGGCATCGATCAGCCTCCCATTGTATCTGTATCACATGGTAATTCCTCCGGTACAGCCATTGAAGGCTTCACCAACTACGTGGTCAAAAGATATGTTAAATAATGTGGGAGCCAGAGGACATCCCTGTCACACCCCAAGGTGTAGAGGGAATGGCTGTGACTGACGGCCTGTAGTTTGACGCGGGGTCGCTCAATATCATAACGGTCCTTAAGTATCGTGAGCAAAGGGGGAGGGACTCCGAAAGCATGAAGAACACCAAAGGCCTGGCCTACTGATAGTATCATAGGCCTTGACCAGGTCAATAAAACAGACACATAGACTCACACGCACACATGGAGCTACAGACATGCAAAGAAATGGACTCACACTAACTCTGATGGAGCCACACACACAAAGCGACTATCACACACGCCCATGGACTGACACACACAGACATATTGACTCACACACACAAACACATAGACGTACACACACACACACATATGGAGTCACACATGCATAGACATCCACTTTAGATACGCACACATGGAGTTACACAAATATATATATCGACGTACACACATACAGCAACTCACACACACACATCGACTTACACACGGACATACGTGGACTAAAAAACACACATTGACGTATAGTACACTGATATACTTACACGCATATCAACTAAGACACACACACGCATTGACTTACACACACATATCGAGTGACACACACACACATGTATGGATTTACACACACATGTGGACTACAACACACATATGGACTGACAACACACATACACAGCGACGTACACACACACACATCGACTGACAAACATAGACACACAAACGCACGTTAACTTACACACTCAGATGGTGCCATGCACACACATCGACTAGCACACAAACATGGACTAACACACACAGAGAGTGACTGATACGCACACAAATGGACTGATACGCACACTTGGACTGACACACACAAACACTTCGACATACACACACACATCGGGTGTTGTCCGTTCGAAAAAGACAGACACACACATGGACTTAAACACACGTATGGACCTACACGCACACATATGGACTCAAACACACACACAACTCGACTCAAACACAAACACATTGACTTACATACACACATATGAACTTACACACACATATGGACTAACACACACATGGACTAACACACACACACACATTTGGAGGTTTGATTGATGAGCTGGCACTGCTAAGGTTCTGGATTCGAAATTAGGTCAGCACTCAGACCTCTGAGCGATGTGGCCATATCTCTCTTGCGAGAATCGAGAATATAGGTTTATCATGCGCGATTGAAGTTATATCTAAAAACCAAGATCTCACTTCTGCTACGCGTTATCTGCACACATACTAGCTTACGTTTTGATAACTGTGATGGAAGGGGTTATCTTCGTGCAGTCATTCGTGACCGGGTTGAGACCATCAACTCACCTCACTTGACTGTGCAGTTTCATTACAGGCGAATGCCTGGATTTGAACAAAGGTTTTCAGTGATGCTGGCTCAAATGGGTTGTGGATGTGATAATGATGATACTGAATGCAAACACAATCCAATGATTTTTTAAAGATATTTTATTTTGCATCACAAGCCCAAAGCATTGCAGAACATGCAACTGACTAGTTGCATGCAATTCCCTATAATTAAAGAGCATGCAATTGTAATCTAAATACATTAATCCAGATGGTGGTGCTGATGGAAATGATAGCACTGCAAGAGAAGTTCTTTAATTTTCTGGTGTCACCTTTGGAGAAATTCTTGGTAATTCGAGGCCAGTTATCATTATTTGTATATTCATTGTAGTGTGAAATTGAAAACAAATATGAGCGTTTTTGAAAATAGGTGTCCCAACACAAATGAAGATTGGTTGATTGTTTGAGGAATCTTTATCTTTGCGTCATCGTTTTGTTTGGTATCATTCACACGTGGATGTCTTCTCTCTATAATTTTAGTAGAAATGTTGGTCAAGTCCATCGATTATTCTGTTCGTGGCAGCATGCAGAAACTGTATTGTCAAGATATATGGTTGTATGATTTTGCCGTGGAGAATATCCTTAGCTGTGTGCTTCGTGTGAGTTTTCACTCTTCAGCTTCTCATTTCTGAAGCCCATAAAGCTTCACCTCTTTTACCTCCTTCCAGTCATTTATGTCGGTCATCCAACTTGTACTTTGATGTTTTGAACCCCTCCAGATTTGCACTCTACCGATCAGCGTTGCCTATGCCAGTGTGTATTGTCTTGTTACATTGCCCAAACCACTGCAGGAAGTTTTTTTTTTCCATTTGCTTTTGCTAGTTCGGGCTCATTCTCACGTTTGTAAATGACAAAAGTAACGTTAAAAATTATTTCTTATCTGTGAAATGATAGTTAGATTGTAAAATCAAATATTATGAAGATACCCTCTGCTGTGTTGGTTTGATCTGGAACTGTTTTTGTCGTCGTTTTGTTGCCTTGCCCAAGTTTGCATTTAGTGTTGAAAAATCGGCAGGAATGTACTTATGCTATTTGTACTTATATACTTTATTTATTCGTATTTCTTTATATAAATTTAAGCTACTGGCTTACCATTGATCTACTTTTTACTCCTATCGTGTTTTGTATTGTTTGTTGTTGTAACTTGCTGGCTCGCCCCTACTGGACATCTGTAAAAAAGAGATTAATTTATCGTCGGATTCCTCCGGGATAAAGACAGATTATGATCATTCCATTGTGATTTCTGAGCGAACAGACTCAATTATGTACGGTATGTGCGAGAAAAATTCGTTGAAATAACTGCATCTCCGTGTTAATTATTTTTTCACCGATTCAAAGGTTCCTTAATTGCACCAACTGAAATCTCCCAAATGGCATATGTATTGCATCATATTTTATACCGCAGGGTTCAATAAACTATTAAATAAAGATAGGCAGCTTTGAATGCAGCATGCAGTTAGTAAAGCGCAGCACGTGCGTGCTTTTCCGATGCCGTTTCACTTTTCCTTTATTTCTGCAGTCACCTTGGTGTAGGCGAGGCCCTTGTAGACACCCTTCATTGGGATGTCGTAGGTGGCGCCGTTCAATAAGGAGATGCGCACCGTACCCTTGTACGGGAGGTCGATTTCCGCGCGACCGATATTGATGTCGATCGCAGTGGTCTTGCGTGGAGGAACCGTGACGTTGAATGAGAGGAGCTCGGTTTTCGATTCTGAATTCTCCACGGCGTGCGTACTCTCGGTGCTAACGGTAAAACTAAAGCCAGCTTCAACATCCACGACATCCGGAACGCCGGCTGAGACGGTGAGGCTCACGGTTGCCTCCAGACTGTTTGTGATCGACCAGGAGGAGGTTTTGGTCACGGTCTTGGAGGTTTCAATTTTATAGGTTTGGGGGACAGAACCAGTATTCTTGTAACTGAGTGATTTGATCTCTTCCATCTGGACTTTTGGAAGCTCCCTGTGCAGTGTAGGGTATGTCACGTTGATCAATTCTGAACTTTTAACCGAATTGATGAAGAGGAAGCCCATGCTGTCGATGTCTGAACCGCCTTTGCCCTGAATTCCAAGGCAGATTCCAGAGCGGACGTCGACTGGGTACTCGGTCTTTAGGCCCCAGTCTGTCATCTTCACGAAGAATTCCCTGCCTTTGGTTGTCCTGAACTTGAAGGCGCCCAGGCGTGAGCCAGCCCCATTCCCCCACAGTGAGAGGGACGAAAACAGCTCCCCGGGCTGGAACACAAACTCTTTGTGAGATCCCGAGGGACTGCCGTACTGTGCAGTCCTTCCGTCCGTCAGCCAGGCCTTCACGCACTTGATCTGCCACCCTCCAACCCACACCCAGATTTTTTCCAGCGTTGCTCCATTTCTCCACCCATCAAAACTGAAGGCTGTTCCTCCTTGTCCTCCACAGGTGTGTAAGGCCAATGCATAAGGCATTTTCTCCTCTCTTCCTGCACATTACAAGATACAGATTTGTTTAAATTATGAAAGAAATTTAAAACATCGTGATATTCACAGTTTGACTTTCAAAACCACATTTTATTGACACATTTGTAATAGTTATGCACTTCTAAATTTGCATGTCGACTCAGATGTTATCGACAACACTATTGCGAAAAAACGGTGAAAAAGCAGTACATCATCATGTTGGTAAATTCTAAAAAAACACACATTGGATCAGATTATTAACTCGTAATGGCTAACTTACAGCTAAAGACAATGAAAGAAGAGCAGACAGTGACAAGGTTAGATAATTTACAAGAATAACTGTTTGAGGTTAAGAGAGCCTTGTCTGCAAGAGAAATACAGCTTCTCTGAAATAAAAGTTGACACAACACAGTACAGCAAATCCTTCCCTCGAGGTTTTACTGTTTTGGGCCAAATTTATTGAGGTACTGTTCGCCGATTGTGCCCCTGTGGCTCGACCATTCGCAGTTGATCTAGAGATTCCTGTATGCATGGTAAATTTACTGCTCGCGATTATGCTGCCATGAAAGTACACAATGCGCCATCTTGTCCCCATCTTATTGCCCAAGTGGCCCATCGTGGTATCCCAGGCGACGTGGTGTTTCTAGATTCCAGTGGATAGACAGTGAGGTTCAGCCGCTCACGATTTTAACTTCCTGCAGTGAACAGTACTGTACACGGTTACCTATACAGTACATCTACGAATAGCCCCTCCTGCATTCAAAAAGCTTTCTTTAAGATGTTTGATTCAAGCATAGCCTCATCCATATGGAATCACAAATTAGCGCAAATAGATTTCCATTCCCTTACGTTACTTAAGAGACATCGGGGCCTGACCCTTTTCAGATTTCCTAAAATAGAACAAAGCAATCGCTTTCAGAACTTTATTCAATAGATCAACAAGAAAAAGTATAGGACATGGAAAAACTGGGAGAAGGCTCGGTGAGCTGCTGGTTATTTGCTGCCGTTACCTAAGCTCCTATCAAATATAGATCGCTTGTCCTGAAACCATTATTCACGGTTTCTAACACATTGGGGAAATGCAACCACAGGTGAATCTCATTCCACTCCTTCATATGTAGACAATCGCCTCTGTGGGGCGACCAATCACTAACAATAGAATGCACAAGGGGTAACTGGCCTGGCTGGAGAGTGATAGGCTTGGAAAGGGTGGGGGACCTTCCAAATAAGGTTACCAAAATATCAGGGACACCATCCAAAGCTACAAACAAAAACTTTGACCACATCACTCACCCAATCTTGGATGGTCTGGTGGAAAAAAAGGAAATGAAAAGTTCGTGCAGGAGATTGAGACCGGGTTAGAGCCAAAACTAGAAAGCTGAGGAGGAAAGGCTGCTGGGACAGGACATTCCTCACCAGAAATGGACTCAAATATGGTTGGGCTCAGACAGCAGGCCGCAGGTCCCTTCCTCTAAACATAATTTAGTTCAAATTCACACATTCCTCTCCTAATTGCCCTAGATACCACAATGGACGGTACAGATGTAACTGAATGCCTTCTGGCCGTGCCCAGATATTTTAGAATTATACGAGAATTTAACGGATTATTTTAATCGGAACTTGGCACAGTGCTGAGCCCCTCAGTGGACTAAACTTTGCGGGGCTTGAAACCAAAAGGGCTATCGGTACGCCAATATGCCTTACTGAAAACCGGATATATTGTAGCAAGAAAGACAATACTAGCAAATTGGAAACAAGAACCCCCTCTTGGAGACTCTGGCACAGAACTATTCGTGCCTTGGCGGGAATCAGCTCCTTAACCAGGATCTACCAGGGATATAATAAGAGTAAGAGGAAATGTGGTCCCCATTTTTATTGACCTTCCGTGAATAATCAGAAAAGTAGGGAGCGGAGCAAGGGGATGAACTCCAGACACTGAAACATTCCAATAGGCACCGTTGCTCCTAGGGGAAAATAAGAAGGATAAGCCCAGACATCACGCTTATTTTACTTTGTTTCCTGTCTAGTTTGGATAAATTATTCCCCTTCCTCCCCCTTGTCCTCTTCTTCCCCTTCCCAGTTAATCTGCTGCTCTTGATCGTTGCCTCTGTGGTAGGTCAGCGAGCCCAAGGGCATCCAGACGGGTCCCCATTTAAGGATTTATTGCACCGGGTTCGACACACGTTCGTAATTGGTATCTCCCTCTGTGATGGCCATGTTCTGGACTCTTACAAAAAAACATGCATTGGATAAAAAAGGGTGGAAGATTGACCCAGGACATCAAGAGTCGTGTTTTTCTTCTTCATGTGATGCTGTGTGGATATCAAAGAGAGAGAGAGAGAGGAGGGAGACAGGAAAAGAGCAAAGTGAGAGGGGAGGCACGAGTATTGCGCAATCGACGTCACTTTTAGACAAACAAACGTCATCAATGCATTTGTATGTAAAGTTTTTCCTGAACATTTAAACCAACGTTGCATGATTGTCAATTGAATTCACATCTTTATATTTTTAGGAGTTGCTTGCTGCTGATGCTGCTATACGTTGTTTTTTCACTGATTTGTGACAGTACCTTACAGAACGGATTTTTAGTGAAAATAAACAGAAATCCGATAGCATCTTGTTTTGCCAACATCACACCAAGCAGGCAGGTTCTCAAGGGGTGCCAGCTAAGAGGCACTTACCTGGGAGTCACCTGTCCACCACACACACCACCTGAATTGTTCATAACGAGACCAGTCAGGAGTAACCCACACACTCACCTTAAGGTTCTCTTCCCAGAGCATGCTTTTCTATCACCAGAACACTGTCATTTATACTACTGTTGCACAGGCCACGTGATCCAGCCACAGCCTAAATTATACATCGCTTCGCATCACTCACGTCAGAATAGTTTATGTAAATATAGTTTGGCATATTTACAGAAATTATGAATATTTAATCTATCATACATATATAATTTTCAAAGTTGAACCTCTCTTTCTTTTTCATGATGACGAGGTGGAGTGAATCAATGAGTGGTGTATTATCAAACAAGGTTCTTCCAACATTATGGAACCTTGTTTCCGCGCCAAACATCGTAAACCTTCCATAAAAAATATATTCTGAAGCAGAAAATTAGTAGTGCCAGATACACCAGCCACATTTATAAATATGTTGTGTAACATAGATCCTTACTCACCGTGTAGCAATATTTTAATGTAGATGTAAAATTCAATGAGGGACGTGATTATCTTGGTGTGTTCTGAGACTGTTGTTGTACATATCCGGGAGAGATCTGAGATTGTTGTTGTTGTTGTCTTGGTGAGGGACTGTTGTTAATGTTGTCTTGGAGTTGTCTGGGACTGTTGTTGTTGTTGTTTTGGTGTGTAACTATTGTACTTGTCATGGTGTTGTCTTGGACTCTTGCTGTTGTTTTTGTCCTTTTGCTGTTTTGCCCCAGGCGTGCATTTGGTGTCAAAAAATTGGCAGGAATGTATGTTATTGTGCAATTTGTACATCTATACAGGCGTATCTCACTTAAAGAGCATTCTTTCTCTGCTAATTCGAGCGATTTCAATACAGATTAATTCGTTCCAAAACGAGCAACACTCTCACGGCACTACTTTTAGTTGCGAATATGATCATCTTAAGCAGCGTTAAAACACGTATGACCAAAACATAACCCTCGTGTTCCTCCAAAGAGATCTCATTAGGTAACGCGTGTTGGGCTGAAACAAGTGTTCGATAACTCTTCGTTGGGTAAGGATTTCATGTATTTGTATTCTGTTGGTGTACCCAGAAAATCCTTACTGACTCTCAAGATACATTTTCGAAAGGGCCTCTCTAAGTTTCACAGTAGGGGGCGATGTAGCTGCTCTGTGTAATCCCAATTGAGTAATTTTGCAGATACATTTTCAACATTGGAATGTTCGGTCACATCAGAAACATTTACAAATAAATTGTGAGAGAAGAAAAGCAGAGAACCCATAGGAAACCCATCCAGGAGCGGGTCAGAAATCGACGAAAGGACGTCTAAACTGTGAGGCACAAGTGTTAAAACTCTGCCACCCCGCCTACAGTATCAAATTGAATCCACGAATTGAAATAGAATTGGAAAGAAAAAAAGCCCGCTTCAACTACAATGGAAGTCAAATGGTAATGAATTTTAATTATAACTAAAGTTTGTCATCGGAATGCCTAAAAATATGACATATAATGTAGTGCATTTTTTTAAAACAGTTAAGCCATAACTGGTTTATTATATTAATCTGATATACCAGTCGTTCCCAACCAGTGTGTTTGATGTGTACACCTCCCAGCCTAATAACTTTTCCTCATTCCCTGACCAGCACATAATCTACTGCGAATCATCCCTAACTTTACTTTACAATCCCTGTTCGTACCCCCTTTGGAGATGGTACACCAGGCAGCCACTAACAGAAGATTAATGCAGTAATTTATCCAAACGTTTAGGCTCCACAGTCCCAGAGTGTCAGTCCACTTTATTCCCAATAACTCGTTTGGTGCGACTGAGTAGTTTCTACTTTGAAAATAACCTTTAAAAATACACAGACCATAAAAACGAGACGTGACAAATGAAACACTACAATCGAGCAGACAGAGGTTACGAATCAAGCCATATTACACAATACAAATAAGTAAGACATGCACGTGTAAGATACACGATATAGAAAATAAGCCAATGCAAATGAGACAAACAGCAGAGACAGTTCATAAGATTCAGGGCATTTTAGATGACTTATTACGAATTGGATATTAGATGGGCAAAGGCAATACGTAGGATATGTTAAACAGTAACAATTGACGGCGAATTATAAAGTAAATAATCATGAGCATCCCCACGCTGAGAAACATGCAAGGAAAGCAATCTTGCGAGCAAGCTGTTATGAGTAGCAAAAAATGTTGCGTAAAGCAGACGTGTTACATAAGAAGTACCGATATAGATGTCTCTTCTCTTTCATCAGCTGTCAACAGGTGGTTGACAACGAGGCTGAATGAAATAGTTCCTTTGATTTCGGTCACTGGACACGACATTCGCTATGCCGTGAGGTATGGTGAATTGAATATTGGCTTCGCAACATTGATCTGTAATATTTAACGAATAAATAATCAATAAATAACCGTGATAGTGTTGATGTATTGAGCCTATCCTTTTTATTTAGATATAATTTTTGGGGGTTTTTTTGGAAGCGGAAATTCCTTAGCCCACAAAAAAAGCATCATGGAGAAGGAAGTGAAGTGGCACTGCTGTGACTCTGGAACATCAAAGGCTGACAGAATTAGCCACCATTGTGATTGGCTGGCTGGTCTGCTATCTGGCATATGAAATACAAAATTTTACACGAAATCAAGCGTTTAGGAAGTTTTACTTGATTCGGTTAGCCAGATCACTTGGCGCATGTGTGATGGGTGGAGGCGCACGGACAAGAGACGACTTTTCACCTGTGATGACACTCGACTAAGGGGCCGTCCAAATGACGTCACGCGATTTTGAACAATTTTTGACCCCCCGCCCCCTTCGTCACGCGGCGTCACGCAAAGTCAGACCCACCTCAAATATGACGTCACGAAGCTCTGCCCCCCCCCCCCCCAAAAAAAAAAGATGTAAAACATGCTTCAAATCGAATTTTGATTTAAAGCTTTCGTGACTGCAGTAATTAATATTCTTAGTTTTTTCGGTAAAGTCACGTTTGAAGAGAAACAACAAAATATAAATATATATAACTATATTTATTTAAAGTTGCGCATTTTGATGTGACGTCACATTTCTCAAACCCCTCCCCCCTCGTCAAACATCGTCACAAATGTCTGACCCCCCCCCCCCCAAGTGCATGACATAATTTATGGATGGCCCCTAATATATTAGTACCGATTAACTAAATATGTATTTGTATGTACTGTATATGCTGTACATGAAACAAAAATTGGATTCATTGTTAGATTTATATCTAACTAGCGGTAAGTACCCGTTGGTGCCCGGGTGAAAAAGGCAGACACACACCTGGACTTACACACAGACATCGACTCACACACATAGAAACACATCGACTTACACGCACACACAGGCATCGACTTTAGACACACACATATGTAGTTACACACACAAATGGACTCACACACACATATACTTACACACACATATCGACTCACACATACATACATATGTAGTGGAACAAATAGGCGCATGAGGGTAAATGGTGAGATGGCGCGGGGGCAGGAGAGTATGGGTCATATTGGGACAAACATATGCAATGGTTGGGACAATGATGTCATGATTAGGCCAATTAAGCTATGGAGCCAGAGACGGCTGTGATTGGCTGGTGTTGTTGTCAGGGCTGAAGTGGCGTCTTAAAGTCTGGAGAAGTAACAGGTGCATGGGCACGCGGAGCGTCGTTGGGATGCGGGTTAATTAATTGGAGAGTAATGAGAGCAGGGACAAACTGGGGAGACGCGAGGAGAAAGGGGGGTTGGATTCGGGAGCTGGACGAAGCAGGACGTGGAGCATAGCTGAAGTGAAGGCAGCCAGCAGGGAGAGAGGAAAGCAGGAGCTGAAGAGAGAAGCAGCAAGCAGTGGAGAGAGCACAGTGATAGCGGAGAGAGGAGAGCAGAGAGAAGCAGCCAGCAGTGGAGAGATCACAGTGATAGCAGAGAGAGGAGAGTAGAGAGAAGCAGCCAGCAGTGGAGAGAGTGCAGTGATAGCGGAGAGTGGGGAGCAGAGAGAATCAGCCAGCAGTGAGAGAGCACAGTGATAGCGGAGAGTGGAGAGCAGAGAAGAAGCAGCCAGCAGCGGAATACGAGTAGCACAGTGATCGCGCAGAGCGGAGAGCAGAGACGAAGCAGCCAGCAGTGGAGAGAGCACAGTGATATCGGAGTGACGGAGAAGTAGAGGATTGGAGAGGCAAAGGCGGCGAGCGAGTCGTCTTGTTGAAAGCACGGCGAGCGAGCCATGGCAAGCAAAGGAACGTGAAGTATGAGGACATTTGGGGAACTGTAAATGAAGTGGTGTGGAAGAAAAACAAAAGTTGTCCAAGTGAAATCAACCACTACATTTGGTGTCAGAGGTTGACTACAAAACTACGCCGACATGTCGAAGAAATCGGCCAAGAGGAAGAACGGCTGATGGACTCGTCCGACAACAGCAACGACTTGGACGTGATTCCCGTGTCTGGCCAAGTGGCTGTTACTCCTCCGGAGGACCTGGTCGAGCAAGTGTCTAGAGAGCGGGATGGTGGCTCAAGCAGGGCCGAGATCCCGGGGCCGACGGGTGACTGGAGAGTCCTCATGGCCCAGTGGCAGGCCAGGCTGGCGACATTGACGGAGGCATTTGACCGCTTTATGACGACGGAGCGGGTGCTATTGACGGTGTTAAGTTGTCCTGCAGCTGTTCCCACGGCATTGGAACACGCGACGATGGACCCGCACCCTCCGGGGAACGGCAGCTGAATCGGACGATGATGGAGCACCACCATCGAGAGCGGGACAGCGACTTCACGTTCAATGCTTTTAGGCCAAAGTTGGCAATTGGACGGCGTTTATGAGACGGTTCCGATCGGCATATCAATCACTAGTCCATCTATGTTCTGAAAAGAGGAGGGGGGAGACGAAAAATTAATGTATGATGTCTGAAAGCCACTGTAAACGTGAACAATCAATTAAGACCTGAAATTGTTAATCAAATCTTTCCAATGATTGCTAAGCCAGAATCCATCTTCTCGGTTGAAATTGTCTCTGTGCTTGTATATGTGGATAGCCTCATGAACGAATCTCTCATGGAAGCCAGATGGCTTACAAAGAACCTCTGTCTTGGAAAAGTCAATGGCATGTGAGCCTACTGAATTAGAACAATGATCTGCTACGGCCGAGGTGTTGGTCCTACCGTGTTTAAGGTCTGCTTTGTGTTCACGAATGCGGTCCGAGACATGGCGTTTGGTTTCTCCAATGTAACTACTACCACAGAGGCAACTTAGTTTGTAGACACCAGGCTACCGTATGTCCGGAATCACATCTTTTTACAGACGGAACCAGATCACGGATTTTATGTAATGTGTTGAAACGACCTGGATCTTGTGTTTATTCAAGATTTTGGAGATCTTTTTTGTGATCCCCGCAATGTAGGGTAAGGTGATGGTTTTGAAAGGCTCCTCAAGAGGGTCCTTCTTCATGGTTTGAGTGATAGCTTTGCGGATTGTATAGTCGGAGTAACCATTAGCCTTAAGAGCTTGGTGTATGTGCTTGAGTTCACTGCCTATGTCTTCCTGGTCAGATATGCATTGGGCTCTATGGTACAGAGTCTTGATGAGATAATTCTTCTGTGATGGATGGTGGTGTGAATCGGGTTTCAGATAAGCAGAGTCACAGCAGTGCCACTTCACTTCCTTCTCCATGATGCTTTTTTTGTGGGCTAAGGAATTTCCGCTTCCAAAAAAAACCCCAAAAATACTATGTAAATAAATATGATAGGCTCAATAAATTAACACTATCACGGTTATTTATTGATTATTCATTCGTTAAATATTACCGATCAATGTTGCCAAGCCAATATTCAATTCACCATACCTCACGGCACAGCGAATGTCGTGTCCAGTGACCGAAATCAAAGGAACTATTTCATTCAGCCTCGGTGTCAACCACCTGTTGACAGCTGATGGAAGAGACATCTATATCGGTACTTCTTATGTAACACGTCTGCTTTACGCAACATTTTTTGCTACTCATAACAGCTTGCTAGCAAGATTGCTTTCCTTGCATGTTTCTCAGCGTGGGGATGCTCTTGATTATTTACTTTATAATTCGCCCTCAATTGATACTGTTTAACATATCCTACCTATTCCCTTTGCCCATCTAATATCCAATTCGTAATAACTCATCTAAAATGCCCTGAATCTTATGAACTGTCTCTGCTGTTTGTCTCATTTGCATTGGCTAATTTTCTATATCGTGTATCTTACACGTGCATGTCTTACTTATTTGTATTGTGTAATATGGCTTGATTCGTAACCTCTGTCTGCTCGATTGTAGTGTTTCATTTGTCACGTCTCGTTTTTATGGTCTGTGTATTTTTAAAGGTTATTTTCGAAGTAGAAACTACTCAGTCGCACCAAACGAGTTATTGGGAATACAGTAGACTGACACTCTGGGACTGTGGAGCCTAAACGTTTGGATAAATTACTGCATTAATCTTCTGTTAGTGGCTGTCTGGTGTACCATCTCCAAAGGGGGTACGGACAGGGATTGTAAAGTAAAGTTAGGGATGATTCGCAGTAGATTATGTGCTGGTCAGGGAATGAGGACAAGATATTAGGCTGGGAGGTGTACACATCAAACACACTGGTTGGGAACGACTGGTATATCAGATTAATCTAATAAAACAGTTATGGCTTAAATGTTTCACTAAATGCACTACATTTTTCGTCATATTTTTAGGGATTCTGATGACAAACTTTAGTCATAATTAAAATTCATTACCATTTGACTTCCATTGTAGTTGAAGCGGGCTTTTTTTCTTTGCAATTCTATTTCAATTCGTGGATTCAATTTGATACTGTAGGCGGGGTGGCAGAGTTTTAACACTTGTGCCTCACAGTTTAGATGTTCTTTGTTCGATTTCTGACCTGCTCCTGGATGGGTTTCCTATGGGTTCTCTGCCTTTCTTCTTTCACAATTTATTTGTAAATGTTTCTGGTGTGGCCGAACATTCCAATGTTGAAAATGTATCTGCAAAATTACTCAATTGAGATTACACAGAGCAGCTAAATCGTCCCCTACTGTGAAACTTAGAGAGGCCCTTTCGAAAGTGTATCTTGAGAGTCAGTAAGGATTTTCTGGGTACACCAACAGAATATAAATACGCGAAATCCTTACCCAACGAGGAGTTATCGAACGCTTGTTTTAGCCCAACACGCGTTAACTAATGAGGTCTCTTGGGAGGAGCACGAGGGTTATGTTTTGGCTATTCTTGTTTAAACGCTGCTTAAGATGATCATTTTTGCAACTAAAAGTAGTGCCTTTAGAGTGTTGCTCGTTTTGGAACAAATTAAGCTGTATTGAAATCGCTCGAATAAGCAGAGACAGAATGCTCGTTAAGTGAGATACTGCTGTATAGATGTACAAATTGCACAAGAACATACATTCCTGCCAATTTTTTGACACAAAATGCACGCCTGGGGCAAAACAGCAAAAGGCCAAAAACAACATCAAGAGTCCAAGACAACACCATGACAAGTACAAGAGTTATACACCAAATCAACAACAGTCCCAGACAACTCCAAGACAACAGCAACAACAGTCCCTCACCAAGACAACAACAACAATCTCAGATCTCTCCCGGATATGTACAACAACAGTCTCAGAACACACCAAGATAATCACATCCCTCATTGAATTTTACATCTACATTAAAATATTGCTACACGGTGGGTAAGGATCGATGTTACACAACATATTTATAAATGTGGCTGGTGTATCTGGCACTACTAATTTTCTGCTTCAGAATATATTTTTAATGGAAGGTTTACGATGTTTGGCGCGGAAACAAGGTTCCATAATGTTGGAAGAACCTTTTTTGATAATACACCACTCATTGATTCACTCCACCTCGTCATCATGAAAAAGAAAGAGAGGTTCAAGTTTGAAAAATATATATGTATGATAGATTAAAAATTCATAATTTCTGTAAATATGCCAAACTATTTACATAAACTATTCTGACGTGAGTGATGCGAAGCGATGTATAATTTAGGCTGTGGCTGGATCACGTGGCCTGTGCAACAGTAGTATAAATGACAGTGTTCTGGTGATAGAAAAGCATGCTCTGGGAAGAGAACCTTAAGGTGAGTGTGTAGGTTACTCCTGACTGGTCTCGTTATGAACAATTCAGGTGGTGTGTGTGGTGGACAGGTGACTCCCAGGTAAGTGCCTCTGAGCTGGCACCCCTTGAGAACCTGCCTGCTTGGTGTGATGTTGGCAAAACAAGATGCTATCGTATTTCTGTGTTTATTTTCACTACAAATCCGTTCTGTAAGGTACTGTCACAAATCAGTGAAAAAACAACGTATAACAGCATCAGCAGCAAGCAACTCCTAAAAATATAAAGATGTGAATTCAATTGACAATCATACAACGTTGGTGTAAATGTTCAGGAAAAAAACTTTACATACAAATGCATTGATGACGTTTGTCTGTCTAAAAGTGACGTCGATTGCGCAATACTCGTGCCTCCCCTCTCACTTTGCTCTCTTCCTGTCTCCCTCCTCTCTCTCTCTCTCTTTGATATCCACACTGCATCACATGAAGAAGAAAAACACGACTCTTGATGTCCTGAGTCAATCGTCCACCCTTTATTTATCCAATGCATGTTTTTTTGTAAGAGTCCAGAACATGGCCATCACAGAGGGAGATACCAATTACGAACGTGTGTCGAACCCGGTGCAATAAATCCTAAAATGGGGACCCGTCTGGATGCCCTTGGGCTCGCTGACCTACCACAGAGGCAACGATCAGGAGCTGCAGATTAACTGGGAAGGGGAAGAAGAAGGACAAGGGGGAGGAAGGGGAATAATTTATCCAAACTAGACAGGAAACAAAGTAACATAAGCGTGATGTCTGGGCTTATCCTTCTTATTTTCCCCTAGGAGCAACGGTGCCTATTGCAATGTTTCAGTGTCTGGAGTTCATCCCCTTGCCCAGCTCCCTACTTTTCTGGTTATTCACGCAGGGTCAATAAAAATGGGGACCACATTGCCTCTTACTCTTATTATATCCCTGGTAGATCCTGGTTAAGGAGCTGATTCCCGCCAAGGCACGGATAGTTCTGTGCCAGAGTCCCCAAGAGGGGGTTCTTGTTTCCAATTTGCTAGTATTGTCTTTCTTGCTACAATATAGCCGGTTTTCAGTAAGGCATATTGGCGTACCGATAGCCCTTTTGGTTTCATGCCCCGCAAAGTTTAGTCCACTGAGGGGACTCAGCTCTGTGCCAAGTTCCGATTAAAATAATCCGTTAAATTCTCGTAAAATTCTAAAATATCTGGGCACGTCCAGAAGGCATTCAGTTACATCTGTACCGTGCATTGTGGTATCTAGGGCAATTAGGAGAGGAATGTGTGAATTTGAACTAAATTATGTTTAGAGGAAGGGACCTGCGGTCTGCTGTCAGAGCCCAACCATATTTGAGTCCATTTCTGGTGAGGAATGTCCTGTCCCAGCAGCCTTTCCCCCTCAGCTTTCTAGTTTTGGCTCTAACCCGGTCTCAATCTCCTGCACAAACTTTTCATTTCCTTTTTCCACCAGACCATCCAAGATTGGGTGAGTGATGCGGTAAAAGTTTTTGTTTGTAGCTTTGGATGGTGTCCCTGATATTTTGGTAACCTTATTTGGAAGGTCCCCCACCCTTTCCAAGCCAATCTCTCTCCAGCCAGGCCAGTTAGCCCTTGTGCATCCTATTGTTAGTGATTGGTTGCCCCACAGAGGCGATTGTCTACATATGAAGGAGTGGAATGAGATTCACCTGTGGTTGCATTTCCCCAATGTGTTTAAGGAGTGGAATGAGATTCACCTGTGGTTGCATTTCCCCAATGTGTTAGAAACCGTGAATAATGGTTTCAGGACCCGCGATCTATATTTGATAGGAGCTTAGGTAACGGCAGCAAATAACCAGCAGCTCACCGAGCCTTCTCCCAGTTTTTCCATGTCCTATACTTTTTCTTGTTGATCTATTGAATAAAGTTCTGAAAGCGATTGCTTTGTTCTATTTTAGGAAATCTGAAAAGGGTCAGGCCCCGATGTCTCTTAAGTAACGTAAGGGAATGGAAATCTATTTGCGCTAATTTGTGATTCCATATGGATGAGGCTATGCTTGAATCAAACATCTTAAAGAAAGCTTTTTGAATGCAGGAGGGGCTATTCGTAGATGTACTGTATAGGTAACCGTGTACAGTACTGTTCACTGCAGGAAGTTAAAATCGTGAGCGGCTGAACCTCACTGTCTATCCACTGGAATCTAGAAACACCACGTCGCCTGGGATACCACGATGGGCCACTTGGGCAATAAGATGGGGACAAGATGGCGCATTGTGTACTTTCATGGCAGCATAATCGCGAGCAGTAAATTTACCATGCATACAGGAATCTCTAGATCAACTGCGAATGGTCGAGCCACAGGGGCACAATCGGCGAACAGTACCTCAATAAATTTGGCCCAAAACAGTAAAACCTCGAGGGAAGGATTTGCTGTAATGTGTTGTGTCAACTTTTATTTCAGAGAAGCTGTATTTCTCTTGCAGACAAGGCTCTCTTAACCTCAAACAGTTATTCTTGTAAATTATCTAACCTTGTCACTGTCTGCTCTTCTTTCATTGTCTTTAGCTGTAAGTTAGCCATTACGAGTTAATAATCTGATCCAATGTGTGTGTTTTTTTTAATTTACCAACATGATGATGTACTGCTTTTTCACCGTATTTTTCGCAATAGTGTTGTCGATAACATCTGAGTCGACATGCAAATTTAGAAGTGCATAACTATTACAAATGTGTCAATAAAATGTGGTTTTGAAAGTCAAACTGTGAATATCACGATGTTTTAAATTTCTTTCATAATTTAAACAAATCTGTATCTTGTAATGTGCAGGAAGAGAGGAGAAAATGCCTTATGCATTGGCCTTACACACCTGTGGAGGACAAGGAGGAACAGCCTTCAGTTTTGATGGGTGGAGAAATGGAGCAACGCTGGAAAAAATCTGGGTGTGGGTTGGAGGGTGGCAGATCAAGTGCGTGAAGGCCTGGCTGACGGACGGAAGGACTGCACAGTACGGCAGTCCCTCGGGATCTCACAAAGAGTTTGTGTTCCAGCCCGGGGAGCTGTTTTCGTCCCTCTCACTGTGGGGGAATGGGGCTGGCTCACGCCTGGGCGCCTTCAAGTTCAGGACAACCAAAGGCAGGGAATTCTTCGTGAAGATGACAGACTGGGGCCTAAAGACCGAGTACCCAGTCGACGTCCGCTCTGGAATCTGCCTTGGAATTCAGGGCAAAGGCGGTTCAGACATCGACAGCATGGGCTTCCTCTTCATCAATTCGGTTAAAAGTTCAGAATTGATCAACGTGACATACCCTACACTGCACAGGGAGCTTCCAAAAGTCCAGATGGAAGAGATCAAATCACTCAGTTACAAGAATACTGGTTCTGTCCCCCAAACCTATAAAATTGAAACCTCCAAGACCGTGACCAAAACCTCCTCCTGGTCGATCACAAACAAGCTGGAGGCAACCGTGAGCATCAGCGTCTCAGCCGGCGTTCCGGATGTCGTGGAGGTTGAATATGGCTTTAGTTTTACCGTTAGCACCGAGAGTACGCACGCCGTGGAGAATTCAGAATCGAAAACCGAGCTCCTCTCATTCGACGTCACGGTTCCTCCACGCAAGACCACTGCGATCGACATCAATATCGGTCGCGCGGAAATCGACCTCCCGTACAAGGGTACGGTGCGCATGTCCTTATTGAACGGCGCCACCTACGACATCCCAATGGAGGGTGTCTACAAGGGCCTCGCCTACACCAAGGCGACTGTAGTAACAAACGAAAAGTGAAACGGCATCGGAAAAGCACGCACGTGCTGCGCTTTACTAGCTGCATGCTGCATTCAACGCTGCCTATCTTTATTTAATAGTTTATTGAACCCTGCGGTATAAAATATGATGCAATACATATGCCATTTGGGAGAGTTCAGTTGGTGCAATTAAGGAACCTTTGAATCGGTGAAAAAATAATTAACACGGAGATGCAGTTATTTCAACGAATTTTTCTCGCACATACCGTACATAATTGAGTCTGTTCGCTCAGAAATCACAATGGAATGATCATAATCTGTCTTTATCCCGGAGGAATCCGACGATAAATTAATCTCTTTTTTACAAATGTCCAGTAGGGGCGAGACAGCAAGTTACAACAACAAACAATACACAACACGATAGGAGGAAAAAAGTAGAGCAATGGTAAGCCAGTAGCTAAAACTTATATAAAGAAATAAGTATAAAGTATATAAGTACAAATAGCATAAGTACATTCCTGTTGATTTTTCAACACTAAATGCAAACTTGGGCAAGGCAACAAAACGACAACAAAAACTGTTCCAGATCAAACCAACACAGCAGAGGGTATCTTCATAATATTTGATTTTACAATCTATCATTTCACAGATAAGAAATAATTTTAAACGTCACTTTTGCCATTTACTTACGTGAGAATGAGCCCCAACTAGCAAACGCAAATGGAAATAAACTTCCTGCAGTGGTTTGGGCAATGTAACAAGACAATACACACTGGCATAGGCAACGTTGATCGGTAGAGTGCAAATCTGGAGGGGTTCAAAACATCAAAGTACAAGTTGGATGAACGACATAAATGACTGGAAGGAGGTGAAAGAGGTGATGCTTTATGGGCTTCAGAAATGAGAAGGTGAAGAGTGAAAACCCAAATGAAGCACACAGCTAAGGACATTCTCCACGGCAAATCATACAAACATATATCTTGACAATACAGTTTCTGCATGCTGCCACGAACAGAATAATCGATGGACTTGACCAACATTTCTACTAAAATTATAGAGAGAAGACATCCACGTGTGAATGATACCAAACAAAACGATGACGGAAAGATAAAGATTCCTCAAACAATCAACCAATCTTCATTTGTGTTGGGACACCTATTTTCAGAAACGCTCATATTTGTTTTCCATTTCACACTACAATGAATATACAAATAATGATAACTGGCCTCGAATGACCAACAATTTCTCCAAAGGTGACACCAGAAAATTAAAGAACTTCTCTTGTAGTACTATCATTTCCATCAGCACCACCATCTGGATTAATGCATTTAGATTACAATTGCATGCTCTTTAATTATAGGGAATTGCATGCAACTAGTCAGTTGCATGTTATGCAATGCTTTGGGCTTGTGATGCAAAATAAAATATCTTTAAAAATTCATTGGATTGTGTTTGCATTCAGTGTCATCATTATCACATCCACAACCCCTTTGAGCCAGCATCACTGAAAACCTTTGTTCGAATCCAGGCATTCGCCTGTAATGAAACTGCACAGTCAAGTGAGGTGAGTTGATGGTCTCAACCCGGTCACGAATGACTGCACGAAGATAACCCCTTCCATCACAGTTATCAAAACGTAAGCTAGTATGTGTGCAGATAACGCGTAGCAGAAGTGAGATCTTGGTTTTTAGATATAACTTCAATCGCGCATGATAAACCTATATTCTCGATTCTCGCAAGAGAGATATGGCCACATCGCTCAGAGGTCTGAGTGCTGACCTAATTTCGAATCCAGAACCTTAGCAGTGCCAGCTCATCAATCAAACCTCCAAATGTGTGTGTGTGTTAGTCCATGTGTGTGTTAGTCCATATGTGTGTGTAAGTTCATATGTGTGTATGTAAGTCAATGTGTTTGTGTTTGAGTCGAGTTGTGTGTGTGTTTGAGTCCATATGTGTGCGTGTAGGTCCATACGTGTGTTTAAGTCCATGTGTGTGTCTGTCTTTTTCGAACGGACAACACCCGATGTGTGTGTGTGTATGTCGAAGTGTTTGTGTGTGTCAGTCCAAGTGTGCGTGTCAGTCCATTTGTGTGCGTATCAGTCACTCTCTGTGTGTGTTAGTCCATGTTTGTGTGCTAGTCGATGTGTGTGCATGGCACCATCTGAGTGTGTAAGTTAACGTGCGTTTGTGTGTCTATGTTTGTCAGTCGATGTGTGTGTGTGTACGTCGCTGTGTATGTGTGTTGTCAGTCCATATGTGTGTTGTAGTCCACATGTGTGTGTAAATCCATACATGTGTGTGTGTGTCACTCGATATGTGTGTGTAAGTCAATGCGTGTGTGTGTCTTAGTTTGATATGCGTGTAAGTATATCAGTGTACTATACGTCAATGTGTGTTTTTTAGTCCACGTATGTCCGTGTGTAAGTCGATGTGTGTGTGTGAGTTGCTGTATGTGTGTACGTCGATATATATATTTGTGTAACTCCATGTGTGCGTATCTAAAGTGGATGTCTATGCATGTGTGACTCCATATGTGTGTGTGTGTACGTCTATGTGTTTGTGTGTGTGAGTCAATATGTCTGTGTGTGTCAGTCCATGGGCGTGTGTGATAGTCGCTTTGTGTGTGTGGCTCCATCAGAGTTAGTGTGAGTCCATTTCTTTGCATGTCTGTAGCTCCATGTGTGCGTGTGAGTCTATGTGTCTGTTTTATTGACCTGGTCAAGGCCTATGATACTATCAGTAGGCCAGGCCTTTGGTGTTCTTCATGCTTTCGGAGTCCCTCCCCCTTTGCTCACGATACTTAAGGACCGTTATGATATTGAGCGGCCCCGCGTCAAACTACAGGCCGTCAGTCACAGCCATTCCCTCTACACCTTGGGGTGTGACAGGGATGTCCTCTGGCTCCCACATTATTTAACATATCTTTTGACCACGTAGTTGGTCAAGCCTTCAATGGCTGTACCGGAGGAATTACCATGTGATACAGATACAATGGGAGGCTGATCGATGCCCGGGTGCGGTCAAGGGATGGCTCCCTATTTCTCAACCATGTTATGTATGCCGATGCTCTGGTGATTGCTACTCACTCAGAGGAGGAGTTGGAGTCGCTGCTGCTGAACCTGGAGCGTGCCACTAAGAGGTTGGGCCTTACCATCAGCCCTACCAAAACTAAGCACCTGCCTGGGTATTTTGTACCATCGGACAATCCACCGCCACAACTCACAATTGGTGATGCGGCAGTTGTGCAGAGATTGCAGAGATTCCCATACCTGCCCAGTGTACTCATGACCAGCTCCGGTTAAACAGCAGAGGTCCCACTCCAAATCAGTCGAGCGCCATTATATTTTCATCGGATGCGTTATGCTGTGTGGAAGGTACCTGGTCTCTCGCTCCGCATGAAGCTCCAGGTCTTCTCGGCCACGGTAATTCCATCCCTTCTCTACGCTTGCGACACGTGCACCCCCTTAATGGAACATCTTCGCCGGTTCGAAACATTTAGGCTGGCCTGCTCACGATCCATCCTGGGTTTAACCGTGTGTGTGTGCATCTAAGTCGATGTTTTCTATGTGTGTGGGTCGATGTCCGTGTGTAAGTCCATGTGTTTGTCTGCCTTTGTCGCCCGGGCAACGCCGGGTACTTACCACAAGTAGTTATCTGAACACGTAAAAAAATAATTGAACATTTTACGTATAAAAATATAAATACAGTAAAACCTTGAATTGCGAGAAACTTGGTCTTGGTCTGCGAGTGTTTTGCAAGACGAGCAAAATTTTTAAATAAATATTAATTTGATAAACGAACGAGGTCTTGCAATACGAGTAGTACGTATACGCTTTGTCTAACGAGCGTCACGTGATCACAACTGATATACGAGTGCCTTGATATACGAGTGCTTTGGATTACAAACACGTTTCCGGAACAGATTATGCTCGCAATCCAAGGTTTTACTGTATACGTGTGCATACATTTAAAAATTAACGTGTCGTAGTGCGATGACCAGCGGTGTGGTAGTGGTAGACACGCCGTGGTGCTGGTGCGATAACAGCGGTGTTGTAGTGGTAGCAGCTAGACGGTGCCACGTGACGCACCGTGGTGCTGGTTGCGATGACAGAGGTGTGGTAGTGGTAGTAGCTAGGCGGTGCCACGTGATGCACCGTGGTGCTGGTGCGATGACAGCGGTGTGGTAGTATGTGGGACTCTGTGTTAAGTGAGTTTGTGGGTCTCTATGTGGTGAGTTTGTGGGTCTTTGTGTAGTGAGTCTGTGGGTCTCTGTGTGAGGTGAGTTTGTGGGTCTTTGTGTGGAGAGTCTGCGGGTCTCTAAGTGATGAGTCTCTGGGTGCTCTGTGTGGTGATTGTGTGGGTCACTTTGTGTGTCTGTGTAAGGTTAGTCTGTGGGTCTCTGTATGGTTTGAGTGTGGGTGTCTGTGTGTGGTGAGTCTGTGAGTCTCTTTGTGTGTCTGTGTGGTGAGTCTGTGTGCCTCTGTGTGAGGTGAGTCTGTGGGTGTCTGTGTGGTTTGAGTGTTGGTGTCTGTGTGTGGAGAGTCTGTGAGTCTCTGTGAGAGGTGAGTCTGCGGGTCTCTGTGTGCCTCTGTGTGAGGTGAATCTGTGGGTGTCTGTGTGGTTTGAGTGTGGGTGTCTGTGTGTGGAGAGTCTGTGAGTCTCTGTGAGAGGTGAGTCTGTGGGTATCTGTGAGGTGAGTGTGCGTGTCTGTGTGTGGTGAGTCTGTGGCCCTGTGGGTCTCTGTGTGAGGTGAGTCTGTGGGTGTCTGTGTGGTTTGAGTGTGGGTCTCTGTGTGAGGTGAGTCTGTGGTCTCTTTGTATGTCTGTGTGGTGAGTCTGTGGGTCTCTGTGTGAGGTGAGTCTGTGGTCTCTTTGTGTGTCTGTGTGGTGAGTCTGTGTGTGTCTGTGTGAGGTTAATCTGTGGGTCTCTGTGTGGTTTGAGTGTGGGTGTCTGTGTGTGTCTGTGTGTGGTGAGTCTGTGGGTGTCTGTGAGGTGAGTGTGCGTGTCTGTGTGGGGTGAGTCTGTGGGTCTCTGTGTGAGGTGAGTCTGTGGTGTCTTTGTGTGTCTGTGTGGTGAGTCTGTGTGTCTCAGTGTGAGGTGAGCCTGTGGGTCTCTGTGTGTCTCTGTGTGAGGTGAGTCTGTGGGTGTCTGTGTGAGATGAGTGTGGGTGTCTGTGTGTGGTGAGTCTGTGGGTCTCTGTGTTGTGAGTTTGTGCGTCTCAATGTGTGTTTGTGTGTGGTGAGTGTGTGGGTCTCAGTGTGAAGTGAGTTTGTGGGTCTCTATGTGAGGTAAGTTTGTGGATTCTAGATTTTACAGCTTAAAGGACGCGACCTGGGCTTGGCTGTTTTCACTCCAACGCTGTCCTCATGACAACACAGTCCCTTCACCTGATGAAGGCTGCTTGTGTTGTAGCCGAAACGTCGTGATTTTTGTTGTTTTATTTTTTACCTACGTGACTTTACCGAATAGAACCAAAGAGTATAGATCCTTGCAGTCACGAAAGATTCAAATCTAGAATTGGTCGTGCATGTCACGTATATCGTTTATTGTTAAATTGTAATCACAGTTCCTGTGATCACTCTTACATTGTTTTTATAGCTTTATTTTGGTGATTTCGAAAAGGTTCTGGTTTAGCCATATTTGTTTGTTGAAATACACAGAGTTAGACTGGTAACTGTAATTGAAATTGTCTTATGGTTGTTATTGTTTGACAAGCATCCCACTGGGATTTTTGCACACAGCGTTGATATGCGGTGCTGTTTCTGGAAGACTTTGCCGTTTTTTTCCTGGATTTTTTCTGTTGCATGTAGTCACTTTAAGATGTTTCTTGTTCTTTTTTTAGTTGGTTGCGGTTGCACCCGATTCAAGAGCCGAATGGCTCACAGGGCTATACCTAATAAATGAACTGAACTGAACTATGGGTCTCTTTGTGTCTCTATGGATAAGCGTGGTTTGTTAAGCGAAAACTGGGGAATGTGGTGGTAGCTTAACATAGGAGACGATGGGCGCTCTATGGGAGTTTGCCGGCGAAAGCAATTGTAGTGCGGATAGGTAGCGAAGCTTATGTCATGTAGGGAATGTGGAGGGCAGGAAACGTGAGAGCCTATGGGAGCTCTATTTGATTGGCCGGCGACGGCAATTTTAATGCATAGTGCGGATAAGCGTGGTTTCTTAAGCAAATTGGGGAACGTGAGGACAGGTAATGGAGACTATGGGAATAGCCTGTGGAGGTGATTGTAATTTGTAGTGTGGATAAGAAGATAGTTATGTCGTGTAGGAAATGTGGTGGAAGGTTTGATGTAAAACCTATGGAAGCCTATAGGAGTAGCCAGTAAAGGTGATTGCAATTTGTAGTGTGGATAGGTTAGGTAAGCTTTGTTAATGACGACCCGTGCAGAACTCATTAATTGTAACTCAGACACGTGTCCCATCCCCCTTGTGACGTCACCACGGCACTTATGAGGCCATGTGAAGTTTCGAAGGGTTGCTGGACAGACCCAGCAGGTGCCATGGGTTGACTGCTGTGCCAGGCTAGGTACAGGAAGAGGTCACGGGACAGTCCCAGCAGGTGCTATGGGTTGACTTCTGTGCCAGGCTAGGTGAAGGAGAAGGTCACGGGACAGACCCAGCAGGTGCTATGGGTTGTACTGCTGTGCCAGGCTAGGTGCAGGAGGAGGTCACGGGACAGACCCAGCAGGTGACATGGGTTGACTGCTTTGCCAGGCTAGGTGCAGGAGGAGGTCACAGGACAGACCCAGCAGGTGTCATGGGTTAACTGCTGTGCCAGGCTAGGTGCAGGCAGAGGTCACGGGACAGACCAAGCAGGTGCTATCGGTTGACTGCTGTGCCAGGCGAAGTGGAAGGGGAGGTCACGGGACAGACCCAGTAGGTGCCAAGGGTTGACTGCTGTGCCAGGCTAGGTGCAGGAGGAGGTCACGGGACAGACCCAGCAGGTGCCATGGGTTGACTGCTGTGCCAGGCTAGGTGCAATTGGAGGTCACGGGACAGACCCAGCAGGTGCCATGGGTTGACTGCTGTTCCAGGCTAGGTGGAGTAGGAGGTCACGGTACAGATCCAGCAGGTGCCATGGGTTGACTGCTGTGCCAAGCTAGGTGCAGGAGGAGGTCACGGGACAGACCCAGCAGGTGCCATGGGTTGACTGCTGTGCCAGGCTAGGTGCAATTGGAGGTCACGGGACAGACCCAGCAGGTGCCATGGGTTGACTGCTGTGCCAGGCTAGGTGGAGTAGGAGGTCACGGGACAGACCCAGCAGGTGCCATGGGTTGACTGCTGTGCCAGGCTAGGTGCATCTGACAACAAACATCTGGGCAGTTCACCTCCATTGGTTCAAGCAAAGCCTGTCTCTTGCTTCTGCTGATGAGACACGGAGCTGGGCAGACTCCAAATACACAGCAGCAGCAGGCATCTTCAGGGTCGGGATGGAACCCACGACCTCCTGCGTACCAGGCGAGGTAGTTAAATTTCATCAGGGTCGGGATCGAACCCACCACCTCCTTTGTAACCAGGCGAGGTAGTTAACATCTCATCAGGGTCGGAATTGAACCCACGACCTCCCGTACACTAGGCGAGGTAATTAACATTTCCTAGCCACTGTGATGATGAGAGAGAGAGAGACGTAGACTCCAAATATACAGCAGCAGGAATCGTCAGGGTCGGGACAGAAACCACGACCTCCTGTATACCACGCGAGGTAGTCAAAATCTCACCAGGGTCAGGATCGAACCCACCACCTCCTGCGTAACCAGACGAGGTAGTTAACATCCCATCAGGGTCCGGGATCGAACCCACGACCTGCGTAACCAGGCGAGGTAGTTAGCATCTCATCAGGGTCGGAATTGAACCCACGACCTCCTGTGTACCAGGCGAGATAGTTAACATCTCATCAGGGTCGGGATCGAACCCACCACCTCCTTTGTAACCAGGCGAGGTAGTTAACATCTCATCAGGGTAGAATTGAACCCACGACCTCCCGTACACTAGGCGAGGTAATTAACATTTCCTAGCCACTGTGATGATGAGAGAGAGAGAGACGTAGACTCCAAATATACAGCAGCAGGAATCGTCAGGGTCGGGACAGAAACCCACGACCTCCTGTATACCACGCGAGGTAGTCAAAATCTCACCAGGGTCAGGATCGAACCCACCACCTCCTGCGTAACCAGACGAGGTAG